TCTTCCCAATTTTTCCTCTATCTCTCTTATTTGATTTTCAAAATCCTTTTTGAGCTCTTCCATGGTCTAGACCAATTCATATTTTTCTTGGAGGCTTTGGATATAGGAGCTTTGACTTTGTTGTCTTCTTCTGAGTGTGTGTTTTGATTTTTCTTGTCACCATAGTAACTTCCTATAGTCAGAGTTTTTTTCTTTTTTCTGTTGTTTGCCCATTTTCCCAGTCTATTACTTGATTTTTAACTCTTTATTACAATAAGGCTCTGCTTCCGAGGTGGAGGGAGTGCTGTCACAAGCTTCAGGGACCTTTGTGCAACTGTTTTCAGAGATACTTCTAGGGACCTGTAAGTTTTCAGTTCTTCCAAGGTGGTATGATCTAAGGCAGAGGTTCCCAAATTTATTTGGCCTACTGCCCCCTTTTAAAATAAAAATTACTCAGCACCTCCCTAGAAGTCCACTTTCTTTAACCCTTCAATGTTTTTTTAAATTTGCATCATTTCAAAAAATATAAAATATTTTTTAAATGACACAAATTCAATAATTTATTGTAAATTTGTGGGGGGTTTTTGCATTGAAATTTTGATGACACAATATTGCATCATATAACTGTATAGTATCTTATTGTAAGGAAGTCATTACATGCACATATTCCTGCTGATGCATGCTGGATTTCCCAACAATGTGTGACATGCTCACCTGCCAACACTTGCTTGTTAAGACCTGTTGGCAGACTTGACCATTGATTGGTTATAACTTGCATTTTGTGTGTTTATTTGGAAAATAATGTAATCACTCTATTACACAACAGATAAAACATGTATGAACAGTTTTTCAAAATTTCTTATCTTCTCTTCTTTCCTATTGCTTCCACGGCTCTCCATTTGTACACCCCCCCGATCATTTTAGCACCCCAGTGGGGTGATATTACCCACTTCAGGAACTTGTGAAAGGAAAGGTATTTACTACTCTCCCTGCCTGGTCTGTGAATGAACACAAGCACTCTTTTTTGCTCTGTAACTGTGAGGAGGGTCCCCCTTCTACTGTGGCCACAAGCTCTGCCATGCTAGTGCTCCTCTTTGACCTGAGACTGCCACCCAAGACTGCAACCTGGATCCAAGTATGGGCAAAAGCAACAGAGTCCTGCCTTAGTGATAGCAAAAAGACCCCTGTAATCTCCTTCTGACCACTTGTCCAACCTCCTTACCATCTGCTGCCTCTGCTGCTGTTGCTTCAGTCACTCCCAAGGTTTGCTCCTGATTTTCTGGGGCCTGGGCTATGCTGCTGGCCTGTGCTGGACTGTGCCCCTCTCTTACCCAGGTGCATCAGACCTTTCCTGCTGACCTTCTAAGTTGTCTTTGGCATCTGTGGGCTGAGAGGTCTGGAAACTGCCGCTACTGCCACTGATTCAGTCACCTCAAGGCCTGCTGCAGGTCTGCTGGGGCACAGTCTGGGTTAGTGAGGCCTGCACTGGACTGTGCTCTTCTCTCACCCTGGTGCAACAGACCTTTCCCGACAACCTTCTAAGTTATCTTGGGCTAGAAATTTGTTACACTCCATCTTTTTTTGTGGATTCTGCTGCTCTAGAATTTGTTTAGAGTCATTTTTAAAGGTCTTTGGAGAGGAGCTTATAAGAGAGCTTATAATTGGTTCAAAGTGTGCAAGGCATACCCAATACTTAAAATCTGGAATTTTTACAATGAGCTCCTCCTAACCTTAAATGAACTCCTCCAGTGTTAAAAGTACTTCTTCCCTTGGGCATCTCTAATTAAGTTCAAGTATTCAGAAAATATTTTGTTAACTTTATCAGTGAATAATCCTTGCTCATCTTCTTCTACAGTGGTGGTCCAGAAAGATTCAACTGATTTTTCTTTTGGCAATTCCATCCAGTTGAGTCTTTCTGGACCACCACTCAGATAGACCATACATAGGTGATCTTTTAATTATTCATCTTTTGTTGTTTTGCCACTCAACCAGACAAGCTCTTCTCATTTCTGTTGATTCTTTGGTTATTATAGTTCTTCCCATATTGATGGGTGCTTTTGTTAAAGTGTATCTTCTCTTGTCAACAGTTTTGGAATTCTCTGAATTTGCTGCTGAAAGTTGAAGCCAGTTTAGATTCAGAACCACAAATGGTTGCAGCTACAGATGTCCTAAATTTGATGGTGCTTTGTTTTCTTTTCTACCAGAAATCAGGTTTGTCTTGACATTTGGTAGAACTAGATTTGGAAGAGGTAATCTCTTTTTATGAGATTTTCTTTGGATAGTAACATTGACAGAGGTTGTAACAGTGGCTTCTTTCTCCTTTTTCTGGATGGCATCAACCTGGTTTTTGCTGGAAGGGTGAAAGGCTGTTTTGTTCTGAGAAGAAGCAGGGCCATCAGATTTAGTGGAAACAGTAACAGATGCTGTTCTACCACTTTTCATAGCTATGTTGATGCTGCTTGCAGATTGAGGCCTTTTAGGAACAACAGTTGACTTCGTCTTACTTGTCATAGACCTTTCATCTTTCAAAATGAATTAACTTTAGATTGGATACTTTTGCCACAAAAAGAGCCTTTGACAAGGCAGAATTTTGCTTCAATTTCTCTGCAATTAGTTGTTTCTCCTTACTATTTCATTTAAGGCAGGCCTGCACAACATAGGGCCCGTAGGCCATCTGGCTGATGATGGTTGGTTGCTGCAGGTAAACATGACAGCTGCCCAAAATGCTTGGGCGGGCCACAAGCCACCGGGGGCAGTATATTGTGCTGGCCTGATTTAAGGCAAAAGGTTTGGCTAAGTGACACACAGTGAATTTTAAAAGTCATCTTCATTTGGTAACACTTGTGTAGTGCAATCACAGTTCTTGGGTAACATATCAATATCTATGGTTGAATTTGTCAATACATTGGCAGATTCTAAAGGAATGCCATTTCTTTCTACTGTTGCGATATTTTTTCTTCATAATAGGCCATAATAGGTCAATTAACATTTTCTTTATCATTCATTTTGGTGCTGGTAAACTTTTGGCACTTTCTGGATTGGGTCTCCAGATACTTTTCTATTACAGTTAGTATTTCTGGTTGTCTGCTTTTCCTGTAATTTTAAAACAGAAAAGGCTTTCTTTCTTGCAAGTTATTTCTCAAGTTTTGTCTTCTTTGTTCTTTGAACTGGGGCTTGGACCTCTGACTGGTGGGTAGAAGCAGTGTTGTGGTGCTCATGATGGTAAGGGTTGGGGGGGGCATCTAGGGCTGTATCTCCTCAGCAGCTAAATCTGCACTTCCTCACCTACCTCTATAATAAACATGTTTGCTATAGGGTCTTTCCCCTCTTTCGAGCAAAAAAAATTATTTCAAAAACACAAACTTTAAGCACTCTTCACTTTTCCTTTCAGAACCTAGTTCTTTTCAAAGAGACTCTTAGGTTAATGGGACCCCCAGATCATAGATCTAAAACTGAAGGGGACCTCAGAAACCACTTAATACTACCCCCTTATTTTAGAGATAAGGAAACTGAGGCTGAGAGAAGTTAAGCAAATTACCCAAAAACTCACCAGTAGTAAACATCAGAGGTAGCACAGTGTGGCATAATTTGGTGTTGAATTGAATACAAAGACCTGGGTTCTGATTCCAGCTCTGCTCCTTATTAATCCTCTGATGTCAGGCAAATTATAGACTTTTCTTTTGTAAAATAAGTATAAATGTTCATTTGTTTTTGTAAAAAAAATTTCTTCTATAAAACAGGCAGAACAGATTACCTGCTTAGCTCACAGAGTTGTTGTGAGGATCAAATACCTAAAAAGGCTTTGGAAACTAAAATGTGATATAAAAATAAAGTGTTATTCCTCTCACCAGGTGAATGGAACGACTGTGCATGGAGTCACACCTCTCTTTAATGCATGTTGTAGTGGGAGCCCTGCCTGTGTCAACCTACTCCTTGCTTTTGGAGCAAAGTCACAACTTGATGATCACCTGGCTTCACCCATCCATGAGGCTGTGAAGAGAGGTAAGGTGAGGAGACCTGGGCGCCCCAGGCTACAGCCTAGGCTTTATTGTGTGTTCGAGGGACTTTATGTAAGCAGTCAATCGACAAGCATTTATTTATTAAGTACTCTCTGTGCCAGGAACTATGGAACTAAGAGGAGAGTGGAATAGTTCCTGCCTTCAAGAAGGTTACATTCTAATGGGGAAGATAATGTCCACAGCAGATATGTAAGTGTATACATAGGGATAGGGATCGGAAGTGTAATTTCATTGGTATAGAGGACCCCAGGTGGGAAAACTCCCTCCACCAATTCGGGTCAGCATCTTGTTTGGGATATTTAATAGTTTTAGAGAGTTGCCTAGAGAACACTCAGAGGTTAAATAACTTGCCCAGGGTTCCTCAGCCAGGATGTGTCAAAGATGAGACTTGAACCTAGGTCTTTCTGGCTTTCAAGCCAGCTCTATTTTCCACTATGACACGCTTTTCTCAAGTAAATATAATATTATGTACAAAATCAAAACAATGTTGTTTTGGGAAGATGATCACTGGCACTAGGCAAGGAGGCTCCATGTAGAAGGTGATATGTGAGCTAAGTCTTAAAGGTAACCAGGGATTTCAAGATGCAGAGGGGAGGAGGAAATGGGACATCCAGGACATCCAGCGATGAGAGAAGTAGGGCCATGTGTGTGAAACTGTGCATGGAACGACAGAGCTGGATCATGTTGAGGGGAGTAGAAGAGTGTAAGAAGTGTGGAAAGTCGGGAAGTGACAGGGTTGTGAGGAGCTTTAAATACCTGGCAGAGGATGTTTTATTTTGTCCTAGAGGTAATAGGGAGCCACTGGGAAAAGAAGGATGACACAGTCAAAACAGAAATTCAGGAAATCACTTAGGCAGTTGAATGGAGGATGGCCTGGAATGGGGAAAAAATTGAGGTAGGGAGACACATTAGAAGTCTGAAATTAATCAGGCATTAACCTTGAAAGAGATATTCTGGTCTCTGCAGGGGGGGAGGTGCGAGGTGGGGAGTGGGGAAGGTAATAGAACATCGTATTAATTTGAATACTTTAACTTTGCCTTTGCAGAGGTGAAGGAGCTCTTCTCACAGTCTCCCTGGGTCTGAGGTCCTCTCCTGTCCTTCTGTGTCCTGTGGGCTGCTTCTGTAGCATGTTTATAAGAATGATGCTCAGTCCCCGGGCAGGCTTTTTGCTAATTTGTTTGCTAGAGTCTACAAAAGCAAAGTTGCAAATACTGCATTAAGATTACGTACTGATGTTGTAAGATACATGATAAAATCATCTGAAAACTGCTTCAGATACTAGCCGTGATTTATGATAAAAACAACTATTCATCTCAAGTATTTCTTTGTAGATAAGCCAGTTACTTTAAGAACCCAATTATGAAGTGATTGAAAAACAATTTCATCAGTTGACTTGGCTATGATCATGAAACCAACCACGGACCCCTCTGTTCTCAATTCGTTTTGAAATAAGGACTATAAATATTTTATTTTCAAAGAATGGGTATGATCCAATAAGATAAGTACTGAAGAAAAAGGACAATTGGTTATAGGTCATATTCAAAGAGCAACTGTTGCTTAAGATAGGCAGAGTCTTTCTACCCCTCTTAAGGACATAAAGACTTTGGATTCAAAAAGCACCTCATCTTTAAAGAAGTTTAAAATGCTATAAGCACATAATCTTTGGACATGTATAGAAGGACGAATATTAGTTTATTTTAGAGATGAATAAATTGTGGCAGAGAGTAAATAGTTATTTGCCCCTGGTCAAATAGGTTATTTTTTTTTAGCGTGATCATTTCTTTTTTTTACTTAATAGTATTTTTTTCTCCAATTACATGTAAAGATAATTTTCAACATTCATTTTTGTAAGATTTTGAATTCCAAATTTTTCTCCTTCCCTCTCTTTCCTCCTTCCTCCCTAAGACAGCAAGCTATCTGATAAAGGTTATGCATGTACAATCATGTTAAACATATTTCCACATTAGTCATGTGGTGATAGAAGAATCAGAACAAAAGGTAAAAACTGCAAGAAAGAAAAAACAAAAAAGAAAAGTGAAAATAGCATACTTTGATCTGCATTCAGACTCCATAGTTCTTTCTCTAGACGTGGATAGCATGATGGAAACCTCATGAGTCCCTTGGATTTGTCTTAGATCATTGTATTTCTGAGAAGAGCTAAGTCTATCAAAGTTGATCATTGCACAATGTTGTTGTTACTATCTATAATGTTCTTCTGGTTCTGCTCACTTCACTCAGCATCAGTTTAAGTGTTTCCAGGTTTCTCTAAAATCTGCCTACTCATCATTTCTTATAGAATAATAGTATGCCATTACATTCATATACCACAACTTGTTCAGCCACTCCCCATTTGATGGGCATCCTTTCAATTTCCAATTCTTGGCCACCACAAAAAAGAACTGTTAAAAATATTTTTGTACATGTAGGTCCTTTCCCCTTTTTTATGGTCTCTTTAGGATACAGACCTAGTAGTGGTATTGCAAACAGGTCAGTTAGTGAGACTCTTTGTATGATGTTATAAGAAAAGACACAAAGGTTCTAGTTCTCCCTGTTCCCATTTCATGATATACTAAACACTTGGTATCATTCCCCCATGACTATTTGATTGCTTGATGATACAATCTAATTCAAACACTTTGGGATGGAACCTCAGATATTGTACTTCTGTACTTTGGTAATAATATTATAAAGTGCTTTAGAAAATATTTGTTTTCTCTTAGCCAGAAACATCTCTTTCTCTCTGAAGGGTTGGCAAATGACAGTTGGTCTTGAATGACCTAAATCATTTCTTTGAACTTTGGGCAGGGCCCACCTACTCACACCTGGAGCATGTGCTAAGCTATACTCACACGTGTGTAAAATAAATTTAATAGTAAAATAAATAAAATAAATAGCTAAATAGTCTGTTTATTGTCCAGAATTAAAGAACCATTGACAAATTCACTAATTAGGTTCTAAATATTTATAGTTCTTTTTTCAAAATTAATCATTGTTTATGGAGAGAGACATTCTGCCTTCACTTAAGCCATTTAAATGCACAAATAACTGGAAATGTTTCAAATTTCAAAATTAGATTTCTCAGAAATTCTTCTAATTTTTCATATTTCTAACTGAGTCTCAGGCTCAGGCAACACTTTACTGGTATTTATAATAAAAAATAGTGTTTTTACTTAAATTAACAATTTTACCTTCAGAAAATACAAGCAGAATCCTAATTCCTGACTTTGCATGGCTGTACAGATATACCTCCACTCACATAGACATCAGTAAATTCACTCTATTAATTTTTAAGTTGTGATAATTCTGAAAGGACTGGAGAGAAGTTTGCTGTGTGTTATCTGAAAAGAAAGAGGTTGTTAAATAAATTAAAGAAATAGACAAGATTTTTAAGGGTAATAAACTACCAAGGGCAACAAACTGCTTACAGAAAACTTTGAGACTTCAGAAACACTCATTGACATGAAATAATCACTGTAATTATAAATCATTTTTGTTATTTCATTAGATAAGCATTCTAAGGATTTTTATTAGTTAGCACTTTATTGGCCTAATTCCACATATTATATGCACTTGAAATTAATAAAAGGTAATTTGTCCTTAATATATTAGAAATTGGACTCAAAACCCATTCTTAATAGATTTCCAACTAATTTGAAAGCTTCTAAGATCCCTTCCAGCTCTAAATCTATGAATCTATGTTTTACATAAACACTTGGGTGTACACTCATTGAATATGACCTGTGACCTACTCTCCGTGTCCTTCCGTGCTTATCTACCCACTCTTTGAAAATAAAATACTTGACTTTATTTTTCTTATTTCAAAAGGAATTGAGAACATAAAGGTCCATGAATAGTTTTATGATCATAGATCATAGCCAAGTCAACTTGTGAAATTGTTTTCAATCACTTCATAAATAAGTTCTTAAAGTGACTGGCTTATCTACAAAGAAATGCTTGAGATGAGATGTTCAGATCAACCATGAATAGCTTTTTTTTTTAAATCATAAATCAAGTCTAGTATCTGAAGTAGTTTTCAGTTAATTTTATCATTCATCTTACAATATCAGTGCAGGGTATACATACAGGTTTTTGACTTTTTCAGAAAAACACACAAACACCCTCACATCTGGATGTATGAAAAATAAGACCAATGGGATTTAACAGAATGTCCAGTGGACTGAGAGTCAAGATGAGAGGCCTAGGTTTTTTCCCTGACTCTGTCACAGACAAGCGTTGTGGTCTTGGGAAAATGCCTTACTTTTACCTCATTGTCCTTCAGTTTCCTCATCTGCAAAATGAAAGCATGTACTAAATGATTGCTAATGTCCCTTTCAATTCCAAAATTCTCTGATTCTTTGATCATTCAACAACTTTCTTCTTTTGTATGAAGTTATCTTCTGTGTTAATTAGGTCACAGGGAGTGTATGGAAATCCTGCTGGCAAATAATGTTAATATTGACCAAGAAGCTCCCCAGCATGGAACTCCACTGTATGTGGCCTGCAACTATCAGAGGACAGACTGTGTCAAGAAGCTCTTGGAGCTAGGTAACCTTCAGCAATCTTTTCATGTCCCTGAAATGAACCCAAGGTCAACATTCACCCTTCATGGTTTCTAAGATGATGGTCTTGCCAAAAGGAAAATTTCCTAACGTTAGCCAAGGCAAATAGTTCTCATTCTAGAGATACTCAAATTCTTTTAATTCATTACTTTGGCTTTTAGTTGGCCACAAGACTTGAATTAATCTTTTCATACACCAAACCAGTTTAAATTCTTAAGTATCTGTCAGAAGTAGGCAGAAAAGTCATTTCACCCAGTGATTGTCATTGAAACTATTCATATGTCAAATTTTACACAGAAAGACCAATGAGGAGGAGAGAAGGCTACTGTACTTGTAGAGATATAAATCCAGTTTGGTTCACAAACACTCTAGGTGCCTGGCTCAGTTTTGGCCTAACATTGAAATAAGTCTTAATCTTTGGACCAACCTTGAAAAGACCTGACCTATTTTCTCTGACCTCAGGGCAGTTCTGGCTGAGCTAGATTTTCTGTGGTTTTTCTGCTGCAGACCAAATACTCAGGGCTTATCAGGGACTGAGAACTGACTTGCTTTGCCCTGGGGTTTAATAATTTCAGCTGATGGTAATTATGCTGATTCTAGGGCAACATTCAGCAGATCTCCCTCACATCATTTCTAATCACTATTTTAGTGATTTTATAATAATAAAAGAACCCAATGACAAGAAGAATGAATAAGTAAGATTGTGTGGCCACACTAATTTTTGAATTCACAGTGTCTAGTCATTGAAATAAAGGGTGTTTAAGTGAGAAATTTAATTTTCAAGAAAAGAAAATACTGAATCTTAGATTTAATATTTTCTCATTTTTTTAATTAAAAAATTAATATATTTTCTTCTTATTGCCTTAATGTTTATAAAAAATAAAAACAACGTTTTGGGAACTTGTATACTATGAGATTTTTGGAATTAAGCTGTAATTTTTTTTTTTTAAGGCACAGCTAGTAAGTGTCAAGTGTTTGGTCTAAGGCCGGATTTGAACTCAGGTACTCCTGACTTCAGGGCCAGTGCTTGTAATTTTTTCTAAAGAACTTAATCTGAAAGTTCTTATTTTTGTTACACACTTCTCAGGCAAAAAAGTTTTTTGAAATAACTAATATTTAAAGGGGAAAATCTTTAACTTCTTATATCCTTCCATCAAAATACTTTGAAATAATCTCTAATTTAGACAGTTTTACAGATACTACAGGCCTTGAATTAGCCATTAAGTCCAATCCAATATAATCTATATTTTAAAGTTAAGTACCTACTCTATGCTAAACACTGGGGTTGTAAAAACAAAATGAAAAACAGGTTATGTAGTCAAGAAGTTTACATTCACATGTGGCAGGCAAGCCAGTCTGTTTAAAACAGCAAGTCACCATAAGAGAGAGGAAAGACTTGGCATGTGTCAAGCAAGTCAAGCCATAACCACCCCAATGGCAATCATCTCACCTCAGATCCTAATAAGGATGACCCAAGATCCTGAACCCTTGGGAACAGCAGTGCTTCCAGCCCAGTGCCCTCCACCATCATCCTGGGCAGCCTAACAACTATACCAGCAGATGCTACAGAATCAGCTGCCAACAAAGTCCTTTGTACTCTAAATAGTTCATCAGAAACTGATATGATTTTAAGAATGGAAATGTTATTAAAGAAGAAGCATTAATATCTGCTTTGCTAGTGCACCCTAAGGATCAGGGCACCTTTCCATCTGACTTGCAACAAAAACTTTCCATGTAATTCGAGCCCCTTTAGAACTGGGACTACAGTTTCTATTTGTTTACCAGTGATTAATATAGTGCTTTGCACTATTGTAAGCACTTAATAAATGTTTTGTTTTTCATTCATTCATTTATGCATTAATTCTACTATGGAAAACTGACCATTTTCTGAGAAATGTGTCCAACAATTACTGGCAATTAGGGTGTCCCCAAATGTAAACTCCAAACTTTAGGCTTCTCATTCTTCTCTATTGCATATTTTGAAATTTTTGTATCTAAGTACTCAATAATATCTTGTGATATGTTTGTTCTTTTAAGGAGCCAGTGTTGACCAAGGCAAATGGTTAGATACCCCACTGCATGCAGCGGCCAGGCAATCCAGTGCAGAAGTCATTGATCTGTTGGCAGACTATGGTGCAAGCGTGAGACGCTTAAACCATCAAGGCAAGTGTGCTCTTGATCTGGCAGCTCCCCAGAGCAGTGTGGAACAGGCACTCCTTCTTCGGGAAGGTAATAAGCTAGCTTAATGCTCCCCCCTCCCTTCTGGTGTTACCTCTAGTCTTTGCTCCAAGTTACTAGTGCCTTCTCCTCTAAGATAACCTTCCATTTATTGTGTGTCTTGTATGTATATCTAAATATTTACATGTCTCCACCTTTAGAACGTATGCTCCTTGAGGGCAGGAACTTTTTTTTTTCTTTTCTCAAAACAGTGCCTGGCACTAGTAAGCACTTAATAAATACTTTTCTACTGACCAGTGGACTAATTGTTTCAGTCATTTAACAAGCATCTATTAAATGACTACTATGTGGCTGGCATTGTTGTAAAAGCTAGGAATAAGGGAAATGGGTGCAGGGAGTTTTGGTGATGGAAGGAAAGAATAAAAATCCTATCACTACTGAGATTTCTTAAATGCTTTTTTCATTCATTCATTCATTCATTCATATCAGCTGGTAGCTCATAATTGTTACATAATAACCAAGGGCTAGGTCTGTAGTGATGATCTGCTATTGCTATTTTTTTCCAGTATGGAAAAAAATAATATAGGAAAACAGTGTTCTCACTGTAAGAGTACAGAAATACTCTACCTTGACCAGGATATAAGCTCACTTTGAATCAAATATGACTATGTTATATTTAGAGGAAATCCAGAGGCAAATTAGAAATAGCTAATTTAGGAATGATGAGAACAGAAAGGACATACTCTGAAAACCCTGACAGAATGTGCCAGTCGCAGTGATGGGCAATTACCTTTTACACAGATCAGGAAGTAATTGATGGAATTTTATTCCCAATTACTTCACCTACATTTTCACTATTTGTTTGAAGAGGCAGATGTAATTTCCTAGACAAACAAAGGACATTTTTTTAATCCAATAAATAAATTCTAAAAATATTTTAAACTCTGCCTTATTATTGAACACTCATCTTTTTTCATATATAGTTAAGTTCTGATTTGCAGGATAAGTCACCCTGGGCTACATCATGAGCCCCATTGTTCTTTGGAACATATTATTCCATTCACTCCTACGTTTTCTAGTGGGTGCTGAATATTATTGCATTATTCAAACATTATTTCCTTTGTACTAGAAGATCACTTAAAGAATTTCTTGTTTCTGATTTGAATTATTAAACTTAACCACTAAGTATTTACAGCCTTAGGTTTTTTTTTTCCTAAAAGTAACTTGTGAATTCTTTCGATTGAAATTTCATTTTCTATGTTTAGAACATCTGGTCATTTCTCTTCTATCCTTTCCTTTGTTACGACATTCGTTTTTTTATTTGTTTGTTTGTTTGTTTTTTGTTCCTGTCATATTCTTCTGGAAGAGTTATGATCCTTAGGTTGTCTCTATGCAACCTGTTTTCAAGATCAGTATGTTTTGCTTGCATAGTAAGCATTTTTTCTTTTAATGTTATTGTTTTTTGCTTCTATTCTTCTAGATTGTCTTTCACTTCTGTGTATTTTCGTTCCCAATCTATTATTATCTCTTTTGTTTCTTGGTTTCTTGCTGCTGTAGATTCCAGTTTTTCAATTTTGCCATTCTGCTCATTATTTTGCTTTGTAGGCCATAAATTCTGCTCTCCTACTTCTCATTTGTCTTGTGAACTACTCATAAACATTGTATTGTAGTTCCATATTCTCTTCAAACGCCCCAGGGTCCTCTGTCTTATCAAGTGTTGAATCATTTTCATTTGTTTTGCAGTATCTATTCATAGATATCTAAATGCTTTTTACTAGGCCCTATTTCCATCTGTTGTTACTGTTTTTCCTGTTGATTTATCTATTTATATTCAAGGTCTTTGAATTTTCTTCTTCCTGAAATCCTGGTAATTTCAGTCTTTTTTCCCTCCTTGTTTTCCCATCACTCACTTTGTGACTCCCTCTCTTTGTGTTTTCCTTGGGGGGATCTTAAAGCACCTTAGCCTCCTCCCACGAACTAGGTCTCTGCCTCATCTGACTTTTGGGTGGTCAGAACTGGCTCCAGCTGGATGCTGTGTTCTTTTGCTCAGGCTTGGTAGAGTGATGCACAGCCCCCGAAGTGTACATTTCCTGTCCTGCTGTCCTGTCTCAATCTCTCTATTCCTTAGTTTTTTGCCCTAGCACTGGCAGTTCAGAACTTTGCAGTGCTGATTCTATAGTGTTGTAGCCCCTCAGTAGGCTTTTGTTCCTAATGGACTGTGGTCGCCTAGCCGTCTGTCCCAGCCAGGGTGAATTTCCATAGCTTGAAGCTGGGGTCTCCGTGACACTTGAAAGAGGGAGAGGGGACCAGGAAAAAAGAAGGTGGGTTTTATTTTAAGCTTGTCTTGTGTTCTTGGGTCTGTTAGTACAGCCTTACTGCCAGGGCGGGGGGTCAAGTGAGCTCAGAGTCAGAAAGTGTCACTTCATGGGCTTTTTAAAAAAAATTATGTTCCAATTTCATTCTCACCTGTTGGACTCCCCTGAGTTTTTCCTTTTCCAGGCTAAACAAACTCTGTTTATTTAACTCATCCTCATATGAACTCAAGGTTCTTTACCATCCTAATTGTCCTCCTATGGACTTATCCTCTACTATGACACCCAGAACTTAACACATATTCTAGATATGGTAAGAGTAAGGCAGAGTACAACAGCACTATTACATTCCTGGTCCTACACACTCTGCCTCTTTTAATGTTACCTAAGATATCATTATTAATTGTCATTTCACATTGTTGACTCACATTAAGCTTGTAGTCTACTGAAACCGTGAGCTCTTTTTTAAGATTTGTTTTATACTTTTGAAGTGAAAATTTCAAACTAAAATGTAATTTTTTACATTTATCCTTATTACATGTCTTATTTATTAGCTTTGGAGAAATAATCTAGCCTTGTCATGATCTTTTGGGAACCTGACATCCAATGTATTAGCTATCCTTGCCAGCTTTGTGTTATCGGAAAGTTTTGAAAAGATGATATATATACCTTTGTGTTATTGGAAAGTTTGAAGAAGATGATATATATGCCTTTATCCAAGTCATTGACTGAAATGTTCAGTAAATAGTACTGGGTGACTCCACTGGAGTCTTCCATCAAAGCTGACATTGAACCATTAATAACTGTTCTTTGAGTCCAGCCATTTAGTCAGTTGTGAATACATCTCATTTTTCTATCATTTTCCAAAAGAATAGATTCAGATATCTTCTCAAACACCTTGCAAAGTTCTAGGCAAACTATATCTACACCATTCCCTAGTTTAGCAACCTTGTCAAAAAAGGGAATAAGTTTAGTCAGCTATGACCTATCTTTGCTGAAGCCATGATGACTTGGTGATTGCCGCATCCTTTTTTAGATAAGGCAATAACCATCTTCTTAATATTGCCAGGAAATGAAGTCGAGCCATTAACCCACAGATTACAGATCCACTTTGCTTGTCTTCCTTGAAAACTGGAAAAATCCCTACCCTTCTCTAGTCCTATAGCACTTCTCTCATTTTCCACAACCTTTAATGTATCACTGATGATGACTCAGTAATTGTAGTGTCCAGTTCTTTCAGTATCTGAGGATGTTTACCTGGACCAAATGACTCAAATTCATCCAGGGCACAGAGATGATCTCTACTATCTACTTGCATAGCATCTCCTATAAGCAGTTTTATTGTATTCTTTGTACTCCCAATGCCATTCTCTTTGGCAAAGAGGAATAATTTTTTCAGCATTCATCATTGTCCCATCCACCCCCAGCATCAGTCATAGACTTTCTTTGAGCCTCCTCCTTCCCCCAATAAAGCACTAAAATATTTGTGTTGTTGGTGGTTTTCCTCACTAGCCTGAATTCATTCTAAACTTTTACACTCCTGACATTATTGTGACAGAATTGTGACAGTTTTGTGTATTCATCTTCTGTTACCTGTCCTTTATTCCATCTTCTGTACATATATTTTAAAAATCCAAATTGTTTGGTTAGTTCTCTGTGCATTTATAGCACACATTTTTCTTCTACTTTAGAATGATTTCACATTTATTCCTTTTCATTTTAAAGCCCCTTTGATTTTACAGACACCAGACAAATGTATTCTTAACAGCCTTTATTAAGTGTATGCCATCTCTGGCCAAGAATGTGTCATTCCTGTAATTTAAACAAGTACTGAACTAGATATTCTCTAATGATTTAAGCAATTATTTCCTATGCCTGTGTAGAAAGAATTTTTATCATCTTAACTATATCTCAATTCAAAATCACTAAGTTTCTTTCAAAGAACTAGGATCATAGAATAATAGAATCATTGTTGAGAGGTGGAAGGAACTTTGGAGATCATCTTGGTCATTCCCCCCATTGAACAGATGAAGAAATTGAAGCCCAGAAAATTGAAGTGGCCTACCTAAGGCCATCCTCCCCAGCCCCAGCACCGTTGAGATTCTGGTCCTAAATCTAATGTGCCTTTCTCACTACACCATGCTGTTGATGAGTATTATTCATGAGGCGACACATTTCTTGCTTAGTTCCATCAAAAATGCTCCTAGATCCAGAATTTTTCGTTTTAGGATTATAGGATCTCAGAGTCAGAAGAGGCCATCTAATGTAGCCTTTGCCTTAATAAGGATCTCTTACAAACAAATTCTTCTCTCCTCTCTCTCCTCTTTAAATGTCACAGTTTGATGTAGAAGGAAGAACTCTAGGTATATCAGAGTTTACTCTAGTGTCTGAAATTTTCTAGGCAACCTGGATTATCTGTCTGCATTACCATCCTCCAAAGAAGTTTAAGTTGGGCTACTGCTCGAGAACCCTTCTCTGTCTTGGGCCCCAAGATTTTAAATAAAACCTATTGATCAGTTCTCAAGGTAAGTTTCCAAACACATGAAGTTCTTGTTGGCCACCGCAACCTAAACCTACCTCGCCTATTTTGATCATGCCCATGTCTCCCCAAGTTTTCTAAATGGATGTTGTCTTATATGGTAGGCTTCTTTTCTAAGAGATATTTCTCATAGATGATGAACTATATGAATAACGATGTCAAACATAAGTGAAAGTCAAATTAGGAAGTGAAAGGGTAGAAAAATTGCCTCCCTGCACTTCTGTTATTCTATCTACAACTCATCATCTCTTGATTTACCTGTATTTTTGAGTCCTCCTAGCTTATTATTCTGGGAGACTTCCATGGAGAAGCAGCTTCCTGGTTCATGAAGCCTCAGATAACATGACCACACAGGGACACATGACATTTGGGTAGAATATATTGGGAAGGGGGAGAATTTGAACTTCTTCCCACACATTTCTTGTTTAGTCCTCACAGCAATAACATCAGAAAATGCATACAGTATTCTCTCCTTATATGCCTCCACCTTTGTGTGGTAAGGATGAAGAAATGTTTCATGATACATTCTCCAGCACAAAGAGCCTCTTTCTTTTTCTTTTTCTTTCTTTTTTTTTTTTTAAAGAACAGCTCAATATCATGGTAACCTTTGCTATTGTCGGTGTTGTCATATTTCTTGCTTAGTTTCATCCAAAAAAAAAGCTTCCATGTCCAGGTTTCCTTTGTGAAGCATCTTGGCTGTAGCACACATTACCCAGGTTCCTTGTTGGGAGACTCAAAGACTGAGATCCAGCCAATACCACCTAATGGTCAGCTAAAAGACTTTAATCTCCCAAGGTCTCCCCATCAAGCCCAGGTTCAGTATTCCTGCACAAGGCTATGGATAGCCACCTCCATCTCCCAATACTCTGTGTTGAGCTGGGTAGTGTTTCTTCCCAAACTCCTATCTACAGCTGTTTTCCAGGTGCACAGCTCTGTCTTCAGACCTCCATAGGCCAAATAATTTCATATACATTTTTCCTGTTCACAAACCTTTACTTCTAGGATAGGCTTTATTGTCCATATGTGATACAAGAATGTCTTTATAGGAACAACCTCAATTAGAGAATGACATTATCAATTCCTTAGACATTAAGATGTTTTTACCGATATTGTGTTAATAGCATATATTTGCATTCCTAACTTGCCTCTGGTAAACCTCATCCCTGGCAATGCTCTGGTCACTTAAAAATCCATTAAAACAAATGCTTACTTTCCAAAAAGAATAAGCATGGGCTATCCTGCCCATTTATGATTTTTTTAGTGCTAATCTATAATTCCTATTCTGAAATGAGCTTTTTTTTCTTTTTAAAATTTTATTGATATCTTTTATTTTTACATTATAGTTATTTCAGCCCTTCCCTCTACCAGACCAAATCATCCCCTTGTCAAAGAAAAACAATTAAGCAAAAGCATCCAATATGTAAACCACATCTGATGGTGTTTACAATATTCTGTTCTAGCAGTTCCCCACCTGTCTGTGGTGAGAAGGGAGAGATATTCCATTATCTGTTCTCCGGGACAAAAGATGCTTTTAAAGAGAGTAACTAACTACCATAGCAACTCTTCCTCTTATTAATGCTCTCTGACTTTTTTTCTGCTTCATATGTATTTCCATCCTCATTTTTTTCCCCCTCTTCCTTTAGGTCCTTCTTCACTGGCTCAGCTCTGCCGTCTGTGTATTCGAAAGTGCTTGGGTCGATCATGCCATTATGCTGTCTACCAACTGTGTCTTCCAGAGCCACTTGAAAAATTCCTCTTATATCAATAGATAAAAGTCTATAAAGCAGAAAGGTGTCTAAAGAAATAGATGACAGCTTTACTCTAGATATTTAGTCAAGCTTTCCTATAGTTATACTTACAGATCTCTATAGGGACTAAGGCAAGTCATTACAGGAAAATGTTGATTCATTCTTTCAGCTTATAGAATGGGATGTGGTGATTAATTATATCTACTGACTAACTGATGGGGTAAACAAAGTCTTTTTTTAATTTAATTTTAGTTCTTATTGATGAAAATTTTCTAAAACTTTTTTTGTCCTCATTGCATACAATATAGTGAATGTAATAGAAGATTTATTTAATGATTGAAGTTCTTATAGTAAACTGGGATCATCATTGGGAACATTTGTGATCTTTATACATTACTAAATATAGGTGGAGAAGATTAAGATGAATGAATGTTGTCTTTAGTATATATCCTCAAAGTTTTTTTTTTAATAAATCTCTGGTTGTCATCTGTTTTGGGGTCATCTTTTATTTTTCTGGTAAGAGCCAATATGATTAAAAAAAAACCTACACATTCTCATTAATTTAGTAGTCTCACAGAACCTCAAGGTTGGAAGGAACCTCAGATCTGGGTCATGTAAATTCAGCCTGTATGTCGTCAAGAATTTCCAGACCCTAATGGATTAACATACATATCAAGAGAGCGATTTATTTAGAACTTGTTTTCCCTTGCTTATAGCAGAATAAAATAAATTCCTCTTGATTTTGACTGCTTTCATTTTTAAAATGACCAATAGAAACTGTTAGAAACTTTCTAAGCTTACCTTCAATTTACTCTATTTATATCTAATTATTTATAAGTTGTTCTCTCTATTTTGCCCCCACTCCCCTACATACCATACACCGCACACACATACATTTTTAACCCCACTAGAATGTGAGTTCCATGATGGCAGAGATGGGTTTTGCCTTCCCTTGTGGTTCCTTCTTTTAGTATAATGCCTGGCACATGGTAAGCTCTTAACAAATTTGTATTGATGAATTGATGAATTGATTGATTGATGAAGCATCCAGGGGGAGCCTCTTACCCAAATGTACAGGCACTTCAGGCAGAGCTGTTAACTACTCATTTTGGCAACAGAACAAGCAACACATACCATGTCCTCAAATTAACTTTGTAATTAATTATGTGAAAACAAAGCAAATGTTAATTAAGGTAAATTCAGTTGAACAGGAGCAGAATTCATTACTGTAGTATAGAAGTTCTTAATCTTTTCTGTCTGTGTCCTGGACCTTCTTGAAAGTCTGGTGAAGACTATGAACCTTTTTCTCAGAATGGTACTTTTAAATGCGCAAAGTAAAATATGTAATATTAAAAAGAAAACCAATTATATTGAAACAAAGATGTAATTTTTTCCATCCAAACTTAGACTCCTTGAAGTCTATCCATAGGCCCCCCCAGTTCATGGGCCCCAGATTCAGAACCCCTGCTAGGGTGGCTCACAGAATGGATTTTAATAATATTCAGGATGTGGCAGCTTCCTACTTTAACCAATTATTCTTGTTAACTAGGTGCTGAGTTCAGTTGTTTCTGCACTACTCAAGGGATGCATATGCTAAATTTTTATGCCTTTTTTTAAAAGCTATGTTGAGAAAAGGAGGAAGTCCCCCAAAGGTTAGGACTGTTGCTCAAGGCATATGGCAAGACAGTAAGAGATGAAAATATAGCTACTCAACTCTTATTTTACTTTTGTCTGCCAATGAGAATGAAGACTGAATTTGAAAGGAGAGAACAAAAATGTCCAATAGGGAGAGTTGAAATCCAAGAGAAATAGGAATATAGTAAGAAAGCATCTTATTGCAGTTCAGTGTCCAGCAAGTTCAACTTAATTACAACCCAGGGTCCCGAAAGAAGTGGCAGGCGTGAATGCTGAGTCTCTGCTAGCGAGAACATGGAGAATGAGAGCAGTGCCACAGGACTAAAGAAGGGCAAACGGCTTAATTTTCATAAAAAATAAAAGGAAGGAAAGGGATGCTCTACAAACTATGAGCTAATTAGATTTTGCTTTGAAGTCCTAGCAGAATTCTATAGTATATTAATCAAGATAACTTATTGTTAAATGGATTTGTAAGGGGGAAAATTGTGCTGTCTAAATTTTGGTGCCTTGGATCAAAGCCTTGGCTGCCCTATCTTAGTTAACAGTTTTAACTAATACCTATTAAAGCCTTGAAGGGATTCTTTGAGAGTCCTTATTCCTGATAGATAGCAACCTGATGATTTTTAGAAATAATTACATAGTGAAGCTAGGTGTGCCAACTGCCAGGATAATATTTCCTCTGCAAGGAGAGACTCAAAATATTAAAGAGGTAACACCAAAGAAACAGCTTTTTTTATTCTTCTCATTGTTGATATAAATTTGGAAAATAATAATTTGATAGATGTTTTAACTTGCAAAAGGTCTCAGTGATATTGTCATTTTAACCCCTTAGTACCTGCATTAATATTAGCTTCCAAAAATGAAAAAGAATAAAATCTTACATATATAAAGAAGTTATGGACTTTTCCTCATTCAACTGATCCTAAACCTGTTGCCTAATAAACTTGAATATGGCTCCTGGAAACCTTCTTCTATGCTTTAGAGTGCTCAGTGAGTAAATCTTGGGGAGAAGACAACAATTCAAGCTTTCCAATTTCTCCGGTCTAGACTCATGTAGTCAAAAACTTTGTATTATTTATATATAATTACATTTTTTGAGACAGCTATCATCTAGCACTGTCTTGATGCTATTGTTCACATTTTTCACCATGTTCCTCTGTTAAGTTTTTACAAAGAAGTTTATAGTCTAAACCAGGGGTGGGGAACCACATGTGACCCTCTAGGTCCTCAAGTGTGGCCCTTTCATTGAATCTGTGAAGTCTGAATTCTGTCAAAGGGCCACACTTAAGGACCTAGAGGGCCACAGGTGGCCTTGAGGCTGCAGATTCCCCACCCATTCTAAACCAATGGTGACCTTTTTTTTTTCTTCCTATGTATAACTTTATTTGGCAAGAGGATGAAGTGCTAAAACGGTTCCTAGTCTTTTTCAGTCTCATTGGGGGTGATTAATGAATGCATGATATATAGGTGCGAGATTTCTTTATATTGCAAGTCTTCAGCTTCTTTGGTTTCTTACTCTTAAATGAAATTTTCTTTTTTTAAAAATTAAATAGTATTCTATTTTTTTCCAATTACCTGTAAAGACAATTTTCAACATTCATTTTTTTGAAAGATTTTGAGTTCCAAATTTTTCTTCCTCCCTCTCTTGCCTCTTCCCTCTCCAAGATGGTAAGCAATCTGATATGGGTTATACATGTGCAGTCATGTAAAACATATTTCCACATTTAGTCATATTGTGAAAGAAGAAATAGAACAAAAGGAAAAAAACAAGGGAAAAAGTAAAAATGGTATGCTTTGATCTGCATTCAGACTCCATCAGTCCTTTCTCTCTGGATATGGACAGTATTTTCCAACATGAATATTTTGAAATTGTCTTGGATCATTGTATTGCTGTGAAGAACTAAGTCAGTCCTAGTTGATCATTGCACAATGTTGCTATTAGTGTGTATAATGTTCTCTTGGTTCTGCTCACTAAGCTTTGCATCAGTTCATAAAATTTTCTAACATCTTTTTCATAATTTTTCCTCTCCATGTTCACCCTTCTACTGAATTTACTAAGTACTGAAATCCATGATGGAAAATCTTTGAATAAAGATATTTTATATTTACTCATCTGCCTACATGTTGTTAATTTTTATTCTTTGTATTCCCATTGACTAATACCTAGTAGGTGTTTAACAACTGTTAATTGAATCAAGTTCTTCATAGATTATCCAGCTTCCTTTCTCTGCCACAGATGTCTATATATAGACCACTGCTATTGGTAAATGTTTAATAATAGTTAACATTTATATAATGCTTACTATGAGCAAGGCACTAAGTGCTTTATAAATATTATCTCATTTGATCTTCACAACAACCCTGGGAGGTAAGTGCTATTATCATCCCTATTTTACAGTTGAAGACACTGAGGCAGATAAGTTAAATGACTTGCCTAGGGTCACACAGTTAATAGGTGTATGAGGCCAAATTTAATAATAATAACAACTAACATTTATTTAATGTTTCCTAGGCGCTTGGCACTGTTGTAAGCATTTATGATTCTTATCTCATCTAATCCTCATAACAACCTTGGGAGGAAGGTACTTATTATTATTATTATTATTATTATTATTATCCTCATTTTACAGATGGGGAAACTGAGGCAAACAGAGGCAAAGTGACTTACCCAAGGTCACACAGCCAGTAAAGTCTGAGGCCAGATTTCAACTCAGGTCCTTCTGACTTCAGTACTGGTGCTTTTCTGTTTATGATGAGCACAAAATTAGAAGACTCATATCTCATAAAATGATGTTCATTGTTGCCTTTGAATAAATAATAAAATCAACTTTGCCTACTCTTATTTTTCTCTCCACTGAAAACCTGTTTATCATCCTTCAATTTAACTGCAACTTTCTTTGTCCTCTCTTGATTTTTATAGTGATTATGTCAAAATTGCTGTGATTCAGTTTCTCTAGTGATATGCCCATTCATCAACACTGGACTAAGATCTCATCTTTAAAGTATTAGGATTTGTAGACCACATAAAAATGGTGTGGTGCTGCATAGCTGCTACACCCCCTTTCTCCTGCATTGCCACTGTCATTGTGTAAGCGCCATGTTTTTCTTTCTTTTCTGGGTTGCCATGGCCAAAGAATCACCAAATAGCCAGCCTACTGCTAATGACCTTTCCCACAGTGAGCAAGGCTGGTCCTTGGATAGCAGACCTGGTCTATTACTCAAAGCGTTTTCAGCATGATAGAACTTGGCAAAGATTGTGCTACACTAGCATAGCCTTCAGGAACCCAGGGTCACTTCCTTGCCATGATGAGACATGGAATCAGTAGTGTGTAGGAAGTAACAAAGGGGGATTAGGAGCATAAATGATTCAGGACTGAACAACTCT